GTTGGGCATCTCTGCAAAACAGTTTGTGTTTCCAAGAAATGAACCTTCCTGGTGGACAGTCCTTTGTCTTCTCTCTCTGAAGGACTAAAACACTGGGAATTAAGTAAGTTATGAGCCATAAATAATTTTTCCAGGCTTGGAAGTAGCAATAAGTTAGATTTTACTATTACTGTGCTTATTTGTCTGCCTAAATAAGAGAGACTGGAGGATGCTGACAGGTAGATACGCGTCCATCACTGTTTCCTAAATATTAGCGTTTCTTTGAGCCTCTGTAACTTGTCACGAACAACCCAAATGAGCTCTATCGTTATTTCCAGAGAACTAACGCACCATCACTTAATGACAACCTTCTGGGAGCGCAGGCGCAGTAATTTGGCATCCTCCAGGCTTGAAGGCTTTTTCAACAGGGAGCCGTTGGGATCTGTTGAGCTACTCTAAAAATCTGTATTTTAGATAAATTGTTGTGTGTGTGCGCAGGCTGGGAAAGGGGAACGGTTTGCCGTGGAGCGTGGTTGTCTTTCGATGTCTGCAAGAGCAGAGCCCGTGGAATGGTGTGGGGTTGAAAGCAAGTTGTGCTGTCTTGGGCTTATTAGATATTAATTACTGTTGGATCAAACCATGGATGTTAGGAACAGGATGAGCAATGAACCATTGTATTCCTTTTAAGCCTCAAGTCTGTTTTGTTTAAAGGATTTTGATGCAGAAGCGCAAGGCAAGTGTATAGGTGGCGATGTGTGCTCCCCACAGCCATGTCCTTGGGTAGAAGTAAGGGGTGAGCCCTGAGACTGGGCGGGGGGGAGCTCAGGCTATTTGGGTGGCCGGAGGGACAGCAGGTTCATAACGTGCCCGTGTAGTGGTTTGCTTTGCCATTCGGTGCTCAGGGAGGCTGGTACCTTTCCAGAAGAGGTGTGCGGAGCTCCCTCTCCATCATTGAACACCGATGTTCCCGGCAGTGCCGTGGGACACCAGGAGGTCCCGGTGCTCTTATGCTGTCGGTGCGGAGGTGGACCTGTGGTGCGGCCCTCCTCGGGAGGGAGAAGCCTGTTTGTCTTCTCCCCCTGGCTGCTCCGAGTGTGTTTAATTATCTTAAGATTGCTTCCTGTTGCTAAAGTCTTCTTGTCTGGAGTAGGATGTTCTTAAACGTAAAAATGCTTAAGTGTAAACCCATACTGAAACACTTTTCTGATGAGATTTTTACTCAGAAATCTCTATGTGGGATCATATCAAAGTTTTGCTGTGATTTTCTTATTTCTATACCGTTAAACGCCTTCTCTTCTCCAGACTTGTGAAGAGCCTGCCTTTTACAGGCTGTCTGCCACCAAACCCTCATCCTCTACCAAAAAAATAACCCCCAAACCCGGCATTTCCAAGCACAGTAGCTCTGAGCAGGAGGTGAGCAGCACTGCTTGGGTGCTCCTACAAGAGCAGAGCATCCTCCTCCAGGGGCCAGGGAGCTCCCGAGGCACCTGCAGGCTCTGCAGAATTGCCTTGTGGAATAATGATGGAAGAAAATGTAATTTAAATCAAAACCTGCTTGTGGTTTGGCTGTGAGCAACGCTTTCTCCAAATAACGAGTCGAAGAGCAGCGGAGCAGGAACCTCACGTCGGCTCTGCTGTGGGCTGGGTTGGAAACAAAACACGACTTAGCAAACATCTCTGTGCAGCAAAGGTGCTTTTTAAAAAAAAAAATAATACGGCCTCTCGGGTATGCTTCTTGCTTACAAATCTCTTTGCTTTCGGTTGAGAGCTTAGGAAACCGTTTCTGAACATAAAACTTCAAAGGGAAGGAACGAGCCGTGAGCTGCTCGCGTCTTGCAGCAAGATGTTTGCCTGCACCCAGTGAGTTACTGGTGCTGGCTGCCCTTGTGGAATGGTTACTGGGAAGGGAAGGGTTCGCACGTGCCCATCTCCGCGTCCCCAGCCCTGCCGAGGGGATCTGGCCGAGCTGCGAGGTGGTTCCCGCGGGACGGAGGAAAGACGCAGAGATGTTTGCTCATTGCCAGTGAGACCCACCTTCCCGCGCCAGGAAAGGTCCGTGACTGCGGCTTTGAAATCCAAACAAGTAAACATTTCTTGTTCCAGAATTGTTGGTATTTAAGGAGAGAAGACTATCTCCAGAGGAAATGTTTGTTTGTGGACTGTCCTTGTTTACTGCGACTGATAAGAGCTGTTCTTTGTGCCCCCTCTGCACTTGGGATTGCAAGAGCCTTGGTTCTGCCTTTTTATTTTTAAGAGAACGACGTGCATCCAGTGTGTGTTTTGATAATGATTCTTACAAATGTATTTATTCAAAACAAACACAGTGGGAAGCAACTACAAAGCAGGCTGCTTTGGCAGCTGGTGCAAAAGGCAGCTCGCTATCATCGTGTTTTCGCGGTGGGACAGTCTTGCAGCGCGTTCATCCCGCTCTGCGTGTGCCGGGGCATCGGGAGCTTTGCCCGTGGCGAGTCTGTCCTGCATCATGGGCTCGGGGTGATGTGCGTTTGGCTGAACGTAGCTTGTTGCTCCCCTGCACCGCCTTGTAGCATCTCTAGGAGGTTTTGGAGAACTGTGGAGAGCGTGAGTTGGCTATGTGGCAGCTGGGGTGACTCTGCAGATGGAGCCGTGTGTTGCTGACAGAGCCAGCAGCATCCCTAGCAAGGGATCACGGGAGGAACAGAACAGAGCTGCAGGGGCAAGTCACCCGTCTGCAAGCAGGTCACAGCCCCTGGTGAGTGTGCAGCCCCTTCAAAACCTCTCCCGAACTGAACTGCAGATGTTTCTGGTTTAGGGGAGAAGGACCTTCAGCATTGTGGATTTTTTTCTTTTCTTTTCCCCCTCAAAGTGAGCAGCAGGCACAAAGCTGCCCTTTCCTCGAGGGTGGTGGTGGGAGCCAGCCGGGTGCTGCATGAATCCACCATAGCCTTTCATTGAACTTGGATTTTACGGCTTTCTCGTGGAGCTTGTTCTGTGATAATTTTGCAGAGACAAACTCCTGCAAGACTTCTGGGGAAATGAGGTGACACAACGCCCAACTCAGCAGCGTTTTGAGCACCTTTGGGTGCTCTCACTGCCTTGGTTGGGCTATGCCAAGCTGTCCTGTCTTCTCCCATGCATAGCGCTGGTGGAGGAGAACCGATGCAGCGTGGTTTTCTACACATCTGCATCTCCATCTAGCTCGGAGCCATGCCACATCTGGGTTTTGGCAGCAGCTTGCGATGTCCGGGGTGTCACCGACCGAGGCTGCCTGTGCAGGCTGGCCACTTGGCTGCCCGTTCTCTCAGTGCAGGTAGAAAGGTGCTGGTTCAGTGGCCTCCACCTCTCCGTTGGGTTTGGAGACACCCAGAGCAGCTCCCCGTGGGGAGATGGTGCACAGGGCATGAGGCTGTCAACCTGGTTTCTGCAGGAGACCGGGCTAAAATGGGCCCTACAGCTCATCCCCAAAGGTGGCTGGGGGAGCTTGTCCAAGCAAAGAGTTTTCAAAGAGTTCAGAGAGCCTGTCCCAAATCTGACGCAGCTCCGAATCACTCCGATGGGAGCATGGATCCTGGGGGTTACCATCCTTGCTTTTCCAAAAGCCCTCCTGGCAAGCAAAAAAAAAAAAAAAAGGCAGCAAAACCCAATACAAACCTCGTAAACTCAGAAAATTTTCGTTGCTGGAGAAACAAATTCAGTGAAGGTCTCTAATGCTGCTTTGTTTTAACCACAGCATTAGGAATAATATTCAGCTTTTCCATTAAAGGCGAGGGAAGAGTACTTTGGAAAGCTAGGAGGGCTTTCAAGCTCCCTGGTTATTTTGGCAATCGGGATGAGTTAAATTAAAATTGTTGAATGCAATAATATGTAGGAGGGTGACATCTTGAAATGTTTCTTAATTTTAAGTATGTATTTTGAGCAAATGTTTGTATGCCGAGGCTTGGGCTGGGGAGATTGAAAAGCATATTGGATTATATGCTATTTGCTCTGTGTAAGCAGTGGCAGTTTATTGCTACATGTGATGCAACGCGCAAAGATTAGTTCTATCCTCTCTAAAGCATGATTATTTTGGGTCCTCTTTATACCTTAAATAGATACTCTTCTCATGTGATTTCCATCTTTCTGTGTCAACAGCCCAGGCTAAAGTTGAAATAAACATTGCATCAGCTTAATAGCCCCGGCTCTGAAGAAATCTGCTCTCCGTTATGTTTGGAAGCTTTTTCATTTTACGTTTTTCCAATGCAAAGATCTCGTGAACTCTGAAGCCTGTGTGGCTCCTCTGAGATCAACATTGTTGATCAACCCTGATGAGTAGTGTTCCCAGCAGAGCAGCAGCGTGGTTCATCATGTTGAGATATCTCCCTTTTTAGTTCGTGGTGAGGATCCGTGGCCTCTTTCAGGGACATTTAGAAGTGACCAGCTGTTAAAATTTGTGGCCATGCAATTTTTGACTCTCGTGGGCTGTAAGAGTTTTCTCTCAAGCAGTGGATTTCTCCTTCCCATTGCAGTGGTGGTGAAGGATGCTGTAATGCTGCAAGCCGTCGCAGGCCGTCTGGGGTTTTGGCACGGTGTGGTAGGAGGAAGGTTGCCTGGTCGTGTGCGTGTCCTCGTCTGCTCTGCTCCCACAGGCAGTGCTGCCAGAGGGGAGCAGGGACTGGGAGAAAGAGAGGACCTCCGGACAGTCCTGTGGAGCAAGACCCTCTACTATGTCCTCCCCTTCCCCTAATCTTATTTCCATTTTTTTAATTGTTTGCTCTTGTCAGATGTCTGCAGACCTGGTGCCAGAGCATTTAGCAGGTCGGAGTCAGCATTGTCCAAATGGTGGAAGGTGCATGGGCAAATGTCGATAGAGATGTTTCTATCAAAGCAAACCTTAGCAAAATGATTTGTTTGCTCTTAATGTAGGCTGGAGTCGGCAGGACAAGGTGGCGTGACTGGGGAACACGTATGTCTGTGCTTGTGGCTTGGTTGGAGTAGCTTAATGCAGACTTAAATATTGGAAAGCTCGTGATTGAGACCTTTTCCACCTCTCTTACAGCATCATCATGACAACAGAGAAGAGTCTAGCGGCGGACGCCGACAATTCGGAGCAGCAGCAAGCCAAAGAGGAGGAAGGAGCTGCTGAAATACAAAAGCAAGAGGCTTCCCTAGAGGAAGGGGCTCAGCAGACGTCGGAGGGACAGCCTGCAGCGGGGCAGAAGCAGAAGACCTCCAACGGCGATACACCCACGCACGAGGAGCAGAGCAAGAAGGAGCGCCGCACCTCCGAGGGCCGGGGTCTCTCCCGCCTGTTCTCATCCTTTCTCAGGAGGCCCAAGTCTCAGGTGTCCGAAGAGGACAAAGACACTGATGCTCCTAAAGAGGCAGGAGGTGACCAGAAAGACCCGGGATTAGGAGCCAGCCCTGATGAAGACATCCTGGTGAAAGCCCCAATTGCAGCTCCTGAGCCTGAGCTCAAAACCGATCCATCGCTAGATCTCCATTCCTTAAGCAGTGCGGAAACACAGGTAAAACACCCTGCTCCGCGTGGCATGCTCCCTTCTGTTCTTGAAAATGTGTCTTTTTAGCCAAAACTATAAAAACTTCATATCCTAGGATGGTAAGCTTGATCAGAAAAACTCATAAGATCCTAAAAAGGGTCTTGTCAGCTGCCTGTGTTGCATCACGTACTTCCCACTCTTGCATCCCTGTATCAGACTGTCCTGCAAAGTTCCTGCTCCTGAAATTGTGCTTGCACTTCACAGCATAACTTAAAATGCCCCGTGCTGACTCTTTACTCTGTTGAGGCATAGGAAGTCACATCAGAACTAGGGTTCAAATTCATAATTCACAACAGAGCGGTTGCTCGTCGCGATGTCCTTGGTGTGTGCAGAATGAAAGGCAGGTCAGTGGCGTGAGGTGGAGATTGCAAGAGGACGTGGATTTGGGAGAAAGGGTTTCTTCAAGGAGCGCAAGCGTGGCATTTCAGGACTTGGTCATCTGTTCAGTCCGGGCTGGTGCTGAGTCTGCCAAATACAAATATTTTCTGCTTATGCATCATGTAGACAGGGATTTCTGCGCAGCACGTCGGCTGAGCCCTGCTCCTAGTAGCCGTCTGATGCCTACTCTTTGCAGCCCGGGGTCATTTGTCATGCAAAATGTAAAAGTTTTTAAAGCATGGTAGAAACTGAGGCAGAGACATTCCCAAAGCTGCAGCTGGTTATTGATTTCGGGTATCAGATGCCCTTTCCTACTCCTTGGGTAATTGGAGCTCTGCCGTTACTAGTGCAGCTGCGGAGTTAGAGAAAGGTGGGCGCCCCTTCCCCTTCTCCTGAGACGGGGATTTCCTACAACCCAACCAACCTGGGTGTATTGCTGAAGTTGTAGCACGTTCGTGGTGAAATCTGGGTTACCTACCCTGCTGCCCTAAGTTTTGAAGGCTCCAGAGAGGTGTTGCACATCTGCAAACTTTTGACTTTTGGAGCTATACTTTACAAGTTAACACATTGCCAGCTGTAGGCAGTAATTGTAAATCCACCTCCTTAAAATTCAAAAGTTGTAGAGAAGATAGTAGGTAACACCTTTTTCTTTCTTTTCCCAAATTTCTGAGCCTGTGAAAACCATGGGATGATCCCTGCTCATGTTGTGTACCTCCGAGGGTTGGGATTAGCAGAATGGGGAAGAGCTGGAAATTTTCATGCAATTTTAGCCCAGAAATTCTGTTTTCAAGAGGAAACGCATGATTTCTTTCTCTATTTAACTTTGATTTGCCGCTTCTGAGTGCAGGTGAGTGTGCACTCACAGCCTTCCTTCACCATGGGCTGTTCGTTTCAGATGAAGCATTTGTGCTTTTTTTTTTTTTTTAGTTCTTATTTTAGATCAACGTCAGTGGCTTTTTGAACTGTGACACTCGGCAGATATTTCTGCTGTGAAAGCATTTGTGAGGTGCTGCCTGTTTGATAAATGCTGACCGACGGGCATTATGAGCTTTGACTGATTCCCTGCTCCCGATTGTCCTGGCCCTGCTGGAACAGAAGTCAGCAGCTTGTGGACATTATTTAGTTTTTAAATACCTCCGTGCAGTTGTGGCTGAGTATGATTTCATGAGATGCGATGGGCTGAAAAGACAGGGTTTTGCTTTTCCTCTGCGGTGGCTGCGTGCTCCTGCTGCATCGAGCCACTTCCAGCACTTGTCAGAGCCTGCCATGAACTCGTTTAACCTGCTGAAATGGCAGTGAAAAAAAAAAAAATGCAGCTTCCTTCCTCCTCCTGTCCCCAAATTGCATCTCTTTCTGCTATTTTAGTGAATTAAACTGGCTCACAAAGTGCTTCAGCAGGCAAAGGGAGAGTGGTATGAAGGCTGCCTTCCCTTTTTGGTGGCAGAGAGCTGCTCGGTGGGCTCAGACGGCCGTGAACTCTCGGCACTGACCCCCCTCCTTTTCATGCTGCTGCTGCCGGTGCCCCAGAGCAAAGCCCATCGCCCAGGGTGACAGTGGGGGCACGGGCAGTGGGTGCGCTGGGTGTCTGACCTAGGAGGGGAAAAACTTGCTAGTCCAAAAGGTGCTGTCATTAAAACCATGAAGATTTCCATGATACAATCTGCTCCGATTTCTCTCATCAGCCCTTTTTCCTTTTTTTATTACATCCTTTATTAAATGAGAATGACTTGAAGGGCTTTAAAAATTAACATCGTCACCTTCTTCACCCAAGCTGCCGCTCCACGTCCCGGGTTACACATTTAGCTCAGACAATTAATTTTGGAGTGCGATCCCAGCCCTACAGTGCACCTATACAGTGCTCGTTTCATGTGATGGTTTTTTTGCTTGATATGTCTAAATTGCAACCGGGATGATGTGGGGGTTTCAGCCTGCGCAGGAGGAGAGGAGGGACGACCAGGAGCCAGACAACAGAGACCTCGGGGGCAAGGAAGGAGGGGAAGCCAAGGAAGAGTGCGCCAAGCCAGAGCCGAAACAAGAGACCCCGGAGACCAAAGCAGAGAAGGATTTGAAAGCTGCCCAGAAAGCAGTAAAAAGACACAGAAACATGTACTGCAAAGTCGTCTTGCTGGATGACACCATTTTTGAGTGTGCCGTGGATGTAAGTACTTCCAGGGTTTGTTTGTGCTTCTCTTCTTTTCCCTCTCCCTTCTCTTCCCCTTGAAAAATCACTGCAAACAGTATTTAATAGGGGTCTGATTTGCTGCCAGTGAATTACATGACAGGCTTTACTGCAGAACAATCTTGCTGTAAGCTGTAACGACTTTAGTGTGTTGTAAAAATCTCTGGGTGCCTAGGGATCTTTTTTTTTAAATTTTTTTTATTATTGTTCTACAATTTCCAGGGTGCCTTGCTTTGTACAAGTGAGGAGAAGCTTAAAAAAAATCAACAACTGATCTCACTTGCTGTTCATCTTCTCTCTCATTTGTTTTGCAGATTAGAATTTAGGTTTTTGTGTTAAGTTGGGGTTGTCTAAATTATCTTCTGCCCCTTTCATTTGAATAAAAGGGGTTGTTGAGTTCATTCGTGCTTTTTTGTTCACCCAAGGTACCTTCACCTATCAGGTTGCTGGCTAACATAACTCCCGGAGCTTGGATGTAAAGAAAAACATGCTGTGTTTAGCCTACAGTTGAATATATTTGCAGTAAACAATTTAAAATTATTGTCGACTTAACAGCACTGCAAACCCCTTCATCTGAGAGCTTTTCTTCTGCTTTATTTTGTGCATTCTCTCACAGGGCTGTCTTGCTGTCAGGGCAATAAAAAGCTAGCAGAAATCCCCATTTCAGTATTGAAGTACTTGTCGGGAATATTAATAATCCGGTACTTACCATTCGAGCATACTTCCATCAGCTTGTTTTTCCCCAGTCCCGCTGGCTAAATGGGCCAGGAGAGGGTATCTGGGCACAGGGCTCCTTGTGAAAGCCGTTACCTTGGGTGATCCTGGGCAAGTAGGTCAGCGCCGGCCGTTTGTGTAACGACGTCACTGCTGCTACTGCCACCGATCCG